ATAAAATACAGAGTATATTTTACCTAACTGTAAATCTGCCTGAATTTTTGTGCCAGCATTGTAGCCCTGTGGACAATCTGTTAAAGAAACCAGAAAAACCAAGATTTGACAAAACTACTTATTACTGTAATGCCAAAATACAACACATTCTCAGTTTAAAAGTATTTCTGACTTATAACAAAAAGAGCAGGGACTTTCCACATCTTAAAACACAAGCACCGTTGCAGTGGCATAACCTTGAAGGGCTGCCCTGTGACTCCTGTGAATGAAGTGCTATCCAGTGACTTCTCACTTCTGATGGTATTTATAGTATATGTGTATGTGTGTGTGTATGTATATACACATACTTGGGGTGGGATTATAAATAGAGAATAGTTTCCTCTGATGTCACTGCTGAGAACAATGTCGTGTTCATCTGATAAAGTGGCCTATCCTTTCTGAAATCTAACGGCACAATTAAACAGTTAAGTCACTGAGGTGGGACAAGGTTCTTTGACTTTCCTGGAAGATGTTAAGAAGCCAACCTTTCGGAAATCCCAGTTTTGTGTTGTATCTTACTTTGCATGTGATGCTTGCCTCTTGTGGTCTGAATAGCTGAGAGTCACTTTTGGGGAAAAATAGGATATAAATCGATTCAGTATAAGCATGCCTGCCTGGCAAGTCTCGTATAAAAAGAAAACGTATAGTTTATGATTTAGTTGAAGCATTCTTGATTGTTATTGCCGTAGTTAGAATGGTCTTTGCAGGTGGCATTCTTGCCATTTATTGAGAGTCCCATAGATGTAAACGTTACTGGCCTTGATGAAGGAGTGCAGGTGGGAAAGCTGATAAGCACTGCCTATGTTTAGACTGCTTGCTTTCTGTGGGGAACCTTGTCCTGCAGAAATGACGGAGACTAACAGCAAGGATGTTTGCCCATGGTGGAGTTGCTTTCTCTGGACGTTTTTAAGCAGAGGCCAGATGATCATCTGTTGGGAGTCCTTGCATTGTGTCTTCCTATCTGGCAGTAGGAGGTTGGACTGGATGGCCCTGAGGGTCCCTTTTAGCTCTGATTTGTTGATTCTATGTAGACTTCAGTACAAGCAGTCTGCAAGTTACAAATAAAATAGTTTCTATATGATTGTTCTTAAGTTGAATTTGTATGTAAGTTGGAACAGGTACATTTTAAAGTTATCTCCAGCCACACATACACACACACACACACACACACAAGCTTTAGATAGCATAGGAAAGGGTGAACACCCCTGCAGCATTTGTTTTTCTGTCTGTGCCCCTTTCAGAAAATTTTACCTGATAATAGGATTCTGGATAATTTGGCTTGTGGAAACAAAGATTGGTGATAAAGTTTCAGCTGAGACCCCTTTCCCCCATGATAATAATAATAATACTACCTTATTTATACCCCACTCCATCTCCCCCAGGGGGACTCGGGGCGGCTTACATGAGGCCACGCTCATCAATACAGTAAACACAATATAACACAAAGCATAACAGAACTAAAAAAATAAAATCATAAAATGCAAAACCAAAATAATAAACAAGACAGCAGTATAAAATCAGACATTAAACACACAGGATTACATGGGGCAGGGCCAAATTTAAGGATAAAATTTAAAATTTTATAACTCTTCCAGAAGTGGGTTTCCCTTCTGAGGGAGAGATTCCTCTCACTTCCTGTTGTCTCAGCCCCATTCTTAACTCGGAAAGCACCAGTTGCTGTGTTACTTAAGTCATTTTTATCCACATCACCCCCAGCCTTGCCACCAGCCCATGAAACCAAGGCAGTTCCTGTAATCTAAAGAGATGGAAACGGAAGAGCGATTCCAGTCCTTTCCACCTGGCATGTTTGCCTCGTAGTGCTAATTGATAAGGGGCCGCTTCATGTCCTGTGCATTTTAATTCCAGCGACATAAAGTTGGCAGTGATCTTTGGAGGATTCTGCTGCGCCGCACAGTGCTGACATGTCACAAGAGAGATAAGCGGCAGTTTTGCAAGCAGATCTCCTGAAATGGGTCCCCTGCCTGTTTTGCTTCTCTGCCTGCCCCTTCCTGCAATCGTTACTCATCCTGACTCCATTTTTGTGTAGGTTTGGTGTACCTTTGCTCCTCAAGTGCCGTGGCTTTACAATCCAAACCACGCCTGTCTAAAGTTGGAGGGTATCAGAATAACACTATGTAACATGACTTGTTTGTGTGAGAGGGACATCAAGTAGCACATATAGTTTTTCAATGACTATTTCATAGAGTTTCTATCCATTGACATAATTTGTGTGAGTCACAAAAATGAAGTTTCTGGAATAAAACTACTTTCAAAAAAGGTACCGCACAATTAAACAAGAAATAACACTTTCAAACCAGGAACAGACTTTGAAAGCATACAGTGCTGACATGTCACAAGAGAGATAAGCAGCAGTTTTGCAAGCAGATCTCCTGAAATGTTATACTGCAGAAACTTTGTTTTTGTAACTGCCACAAACTACGTTGAATTGGTTGCTATTCGATGAGATATTCATTGAAAAACTGAAGCAAAATGTGCTTCAAGACATTCCACAAAAAAACAAAGTGTTTGTAGTTTAATAAACCCCTTTCCATGTTTTTATGATAGAACCAATCAGGATTTTGGGAATAGCAACCGTACATGCCTCCACTAACTGTTTGTAAATGTGTATAATTGTTAACCTATATTGCATGTATATTTTTGTTTGCCAGTTTGACTGTACCTCATTGATGTGGGAGGGGCTTCAGTCACAGGACTCCATTTTTGTTATACAGTATGCTTTTAGACCTCAATAGAGGTGGATTCAGTTTGTCTCATTTCAGACTTCAGTGAGCACAGTTATACAGTTTGGCCTATATATGCTTAAAGACATTGGACTATGGACTAATATGCTGAATGTATACAAGAAGTTTGTTAGTAAACCTGAGATGTTATTTTTAAATAAGACTACTTCGTTTTTGTCTCCTGAGTGCATATTTTAAACAAGAGGTTTTTAAGGGAGAGTAGATGAGCAACTTCAACTTCAAAGAAAGAACCATCCTCTGCTAACCAAATATATTTTTGTAGTGACATGTCTTTATCCTTGGCAGTTTAAAGACATGGTTCTTCAGTTTAACAACTGAGTTAACTGTGTGCCATTACACAAATGCTTATGAATATAACTTGTTCAAAGAGTTGATTTCTAGCAAGGTCATGCTTTTCTTAACTAGTTGTTTTCAAAAGGTGGTCTCTATGTTCATGGAGATTCACATTTGCCAAACCGATGTGACATCATATTTGCTTTTTCAAAAGGTTATGGTGTACTTATTTCCAATAGGTTATGGAATTTCCAATATAAGAAATCACATGTATGACTGAGGGACAAAAATCATGTTACATAGTGTTCTAGTTTTAAAATCCAACCATGCTTCTCAAAGGCCGGAAGGGATAGAAAGCTGTATGCCATTCTGTTCCCACAATGGCTGAACATGAGATCTGACTGCTTTCAGTTGAAAAGTCAGCATTTGAAGGTGCCTGGAGCTGTGAAATTGTGGCAGGGGCATCAAATGGCTTGTTCCAGGAGAGAGCGCTTCTTTCCAGCCTGTTGCTTGTGGATGGAATCGCTTTGCGATTGCGCCAAGGGTTCAGCTGGCCCTCATCGCCAGGTTACTGGAGAGCAATCCCTTCCTTAATGCATTGTCTTAGATGGCGTACGTCATCGCCTCGGCCAAGATCAACACGGGAGCGATGCAGGTTAGCGTTTCCTGGTATTTGTCTTGTGTCGTGCGTCATGGAACACACTCTGCCTTGTGAAAGCAGTGAGCCGGGCGGCCCTTGGCTTTCAGCTTCTTCCTGGCATGCCTTATGTGCATGCAGCCTGGGCGGAGGAGAAGGGAGCACTTCGTGAAGCCCTCTTGGCTGTGTCTCTGTCGAAACCAAGTTGTCCCGGAGCAGCTTAGGAGCGGCAAACAGGTTTTTATCAGTTGCCTTTGCATGTAGATTCCAGTATAAGGCTTGCGGCTGAAAGGCCTGATTCTCACAGAATTGCGATGGGCTTTTTGGGAACTAAGAATGGATAGGATAACATAATCCATCTTAGCCACAGGTGCAAAGCTCTGCAAAGTAGGTCATCAGTCAGAAAACTAGTCTTGATTAATCAAAACCAGGGGGGAGTTGAAATCACAGGAATGTTGCTGGACTGCAAGATGGGGCAAACTTTCAACTGTTGGATTGATGAATCAGTTATTGGCAAACTTTTGCCCTCCAGATGTTTTGGACTTCAGCAGGCTGAGAGGAATTGTGGGAGTTGAAGTCCAAAGCACCTGGAGGGCCAAAGTTTGCCCATAACTGAATTAGAGGGATGTCTGTCAGAAGTGTGATATAAAGTATTATTTAAAGGGAAGAGGATAACAAGGGGTAACAATCAATAGAAAGTGTGAGGTTCACAGCATAGTTTCTGTAGTTGTGTGTCTAGTATGTGTTTATTAGTGTAGATATGTCTTAGGTTATTGTGTTTATTTTGGATTTGGTTTTGTAAGGTGTAGTTGTAGTGTTATATAGTATGAAAATCTGATTTCTTTGTATTACTGTTGCTTTTAATTGTTTTTTCTTTTCCCCTTTATAAAAATTAGTGTGTTGTTGTAGTATGGGTAAATATTCTCAGGTTGCGAGTTTTCTTTCCTAAATGGTAACACTTCTGAGTGTTTTGACTTTTGTCCGCAGGTTTTCTTAGGCTCTGTCTATACTGACAGTTTAATGCAGTTTGAAGCTGGCTCTCATGAGCTGCAACATACTCTTATGAGCTGCAACATGCTCTCACAAAAGCATGCAAAAGAAATGCCTTAATGTGCATCAGTGCACCGTTGTTTATGTGATCCCCATCCGGGCCTGAAAATGGTTGCAGGATTTCCTCTGGAATCATCTCCTTCAATTACAGTTTGAGACTGCATTCGGTGGTCAGTGTAGATGGGTTCTTGGTGTGTTTCTTTTCTAAACTCGGGTGTTTTCTTTCCTCCTCTTCTCAGGTTTTCCGTTTGAGTCTCCGCCCCACATTTATGGCGATTCTGAGAGTCCGGGCCGACTTCTGCCGGGCCCAGCACCGCTCCCTGGCTGGGAAGTAAGCCGGGGACCAGGGTCTTTCGTGCCATAAGTGAACTTTGCCTTGAAGAAGTCTTCCGGACACCGAGACACACGCCTCAAATATATGGGGTTATCTCCCGCACATTGGAAACCTCTTCCTCTTAGTGACGCTAGAGAAGCCAAGCCTGGCTGAACCCAAGGGGAGAGAGAAGACCTGCCCTTACATTTTCTTTGTGCCTCACCAGTGCCTAAATGTAGAAAAGGCCGCCTCCTGCGTTTGTTTGCATGTAGTAGGAACCTGAAGGGGAGCATTACCTGCTGTTGCCGAGGCTGAAGTCGAACCCCAGCAGATGCCCAAGGAAAACCGGCTTTTCTGGAAGTGAAGAATCACCCTGAAGGACAAACCCAACGAGGAAAAGCTCTGATCGATCCCTGGACACTTCAGTGGTCTCTTTTTTAATGTTTTCTGCTGTGAAACGTTGCAAGATTTGATTTCCCCTCCCTCCTGACACATTCCCTCTCCCTTCGCCACTATGAACCGTCCCGCTCCGGTGGAGATCACCTACGAGAGTATGCGCTTCCTGATCACCCACAACCCAACCAACGCCACCCTCACCAAGTTCACGGAGGTAAGGAATGGGTACAGTAAACACAGGGTGAAGGAACGTTGACTAGGGGTTGGAGCAGGCACTGCTACATTTCTTTCGTAAAGGTAAAGGTTTCCTTTGACATTAAGTCTAGTCATGTCCGACTCTGGGGGTTGGTGCTCATCTCCATTTTTAAGCTGAAGAGCTGCCGTTGTCCATAGACACCTCCAAGGTCATGTGGCCGGCATGAATGCATGGAGTGCCATTACTTTCCCACTGAAGTGGTACCTATTGATCTATTCACATTTGCATGTTTTTGAAATGCTAGGTTGGCAGAAGCTGGGCCTAATAGCAGGAGCTCACCCTTTTCCCCAGATTCAAACCGCTGACCTTTTGATCAGCATGTTCAGCAGCTCAGTGGTTTAACCCGCTGTACCACCGGGGGCTCCTAACGTTTCTTTCAGCATGGTAAAAACAAATCTTTGAAAAGCACAAGTCCTACTAGCTTTGCTTTCTTTTCCTTTCTTCCTTGCTTGCTTCCTTCCCCCCCCTCTCTTTTCCTCTTATTGTTTTCTTCCTCCCTCTCCTCCTTCCTTCCTGTATCCTTCCCTCCCTTTCTATTTTTCCCTTTCTCTCTTCCTCTATTTATTCCTCCTTCTTCTCTTTCCCTCCCTCCCTTCCTCCCTTCCCCCCTTCCTTCCTTCCTTCCTTCCTTCCTTCCTTCCTTCCTTCCTTCCTTCCTTCCTTCCTTCCTTCCTGTAACTCTTCCTCCCTCTCTTTTTCTTCCTCCCTCTTTTTTTCTTTCCTTATTCGTCTATTCATTCCTCCCTCTCCTCTCTCCCTCTACTCATTTCTCCCTCTCTGTCTCCTTTCCTTCCTTTCTATTTTTCTTTCTCTCAAACTGCTTTCCTTCCTTTCCTGTTTTTTTGTTTTCTTTTTCCTTCTCTCCTGATAGTTGTCATTTGGTGAGGCACCAGCACCTTTTGGCAGATAAGGCTATAACAGCCTTGTAAAACTACAACTCACAGGGTTGAGCCATGGTAGTTAAAAGTAGTGTTGAACTACATGGCTTCTACAGTATTGATGCGTCCATGGATTCCTTCCTTCCTTCCCTTTCTTCCTGTGCAGTTCAGCTTCCATATTTAGGATGAGAAATGTAGTTGCACCCAAAGACCCAGGTTGCTAACTTCTCCCTGCTGCGTGTTAACATTGTCTAGTGCTTTTTCTGTTTAGAAATCCCCAGAGCTGCCTCCTCCCCCATGTTGATTTACTGCCAACCAGCCATTATTGATCCTGGTGACCTCAATGTCTGTGAGGCCCTGCAGCATGGATGACAATGTCATGAAGGTCATCTCCCTCATCCTCTTTGTGTCAAATAAGCGGATGCCACCCTGCATTGGCACAAGTGACCTAATTTCTCACTGCTCCTTTTCATACATCATACATTATAGTTGCTGCACCAAATTCCTTTGCTTAATCATGTATTTATTACTCTTTGCAGAGGGATTTCCTTGCTGGTGGTTAGAACATTCCTTTGCTGCTTCATCTGATAGAGTTGGTACCCTTCAGTATAAATATTGGTAGAAACCGTGGGTTTAAAAAGTAAACAGAGAGCTTGATGCATCAGCCATAGTGATGCAATTTTCTTGGTAGGAATAATAAGACTACTTATTTTCCATGTTTTGCATCCAAACTGGAGTGTTTGCTTACCCAGATAGTAATTTGTCCCTTCAGGGCATTGCCAGAAGACAAGGCTCTCTCTTTTTCAGACGTAAACTGTCTGAGGGTTGGGTCAACCAGACAACCGCATGCTGCCATTGAAAGAAGGCTAGAGAGGTGTTTTGTGTTCTATTTGTGGTTCCATATTTCCTCCGCATTTCTTAATCCCGCTCTGGAGGCTTACCACTTAACAATATTACATTCCCTCTCCTTCCAGTTAAAAATTCATTTAAAAAATTGGTTTCTTTTATGCCACTGTTATATCTTGTGAGCCTTGTCAGGATAGCAAAGAACTAATATTGAAAAACAAAAGGTTTCTGCAGTGATAAAATCAGTGTAATTTTGAAGCTTCTGTTCATTTAGTGCCATCAAAGGAGTTACTATTTTTTCCTGGGGCTTGTTTGAATAACTGTTGCAGGCCATCAGAACTTATGCACCAGGAGGAATATTGCAGGAACACCTTTCCCTCCGCCCTATTTTTATTATTTGCTGAGAATTCCAAGGCAAGAGTGGAACGAAATATACTGTTTTTTCATCTTCGCTATGCTTGTATGAAACATCTAAAGCAAAGCATATGTTTTGTAAGTCCCTGATTCAGATGCTGGAATGATGGTCCTTGGGATAGTTCTGATTTTTACCCATAAAGTGAGACCTATATGGCCTTTATTCATTGGCCAAGAAGTTGTCATTGTAACCATTTGTACAGACAAAGATCAGGTTGGCGTATTGGTATCTAATTATCCCGTATTTCAACCTTGGCTTTTTGTCCAGTCATACATAAGGTCCCTGCCCACTGAAAATGTCAAATCTTCATGGCTGCAGAATAATAGAACCGTGGATTTGGAGGAGACCCCAAAAGGCTATCCAGTCCAACCCCCCTTCTGCCATGCAAGAGAACCCAATCAAAGCCCTCCTGACAGATTGTCATCCAGGCTCTGCTTAAAAACCTCCAGAGAATGAGATTCTATCAGACATGCTCTGCTGTTAAACAGCTCTGACCTTCAGGAAGTTCTTCATCATGTTTTGGTAGCATCTCTTGTAGTTTGAATCAGTTGCTCCATTGTGTTGTAGCCTCCAGAACAGCAGCAAACAAAGTTGGCCTCTCAAGGTGGAAACCTTTTCCACGTTCAAATGTGGCTCTAATGTCCCCCTGCCTCTCAGCCTGCTTTTTCCACAGTAAATGTGCCTAGCTCCTTAAGCTGGTCCTTAGAAGGATTCTGGATCTTTGACCATTTTAGTCCCTTTTCTCTAGATATTTTGTGTCATGTCCATAGCCTTCTTGAATCATGTTGTCCAGAGCTGGACATAAAGATGCCAGGTGAGGTCTGAGCGAAAGACTGACAGAAGATAAACAGGAAAAAAAGGTCTAAGGACCATCTCTTATACTTGAATGAAAATGCTGTAGAACGAGTGTGGTTCCTTTTTTGTGTGTGGTTGGCTCTTTTTCCATGTTGTTTTCAGTAGGGAGTTATGTTGGTTCGTAACCTTGGAACTATGCCCACAGGCCCTATTCTATGCTCCCAGTAAGTGGTACAATAAGAGTCTTGCTTATCCAACCTTTGCTCATCTGACGTTCTGTATTATCCAATGCAGTCTGTCTCCCGCCTGGATCCACAGCTGTTTCAATATAGTGTGATGTTTTACTGCTAAAATTGTTAATACAGTAATTACTACATAACTACATGTATTGAACTGCTTTTTCTATCAATTTTGGTGCTTAATTTGTACAGTCATAACGTAATTTGACGTCTAATAAGCTTTTCCATAATCCCTCCTTTTTATCCAACATTTTTGCTTATCCAACTTTCTGCCGGCCTGTTTATGTTGGATAAGCAAGATTCTGCTGTATATATTAATACACCTCTCAACTGCTTTTCCATGTCTTTTTTCTTCTGTTATAGGGCAATTTGATGCTGATGTCTTACACTTCTAGGGGCAGCTGTCAATGTTTGGCATTTAGTATGTCCCCCAATTACTTCACAGTGAATGCAGGCTTGCCTCCTGTGACTGAAACAACTGACAGATTCCATGTGCCCCTTTTCTTTGTCAGGTCCTCTTTTCATTATCCACTCCTTCATCCTTTGTATCCTGATGTTCTTGGACAGTTGACATTGGCACTGGGCAGTCACTCGCCCATTTGCTTCCACTACAAAAAAAGCTGTTGTCCCTTGGGAGGCGACTTAAACTGCTGTCTGTCATCAGGGATCGATCAAGCCTTCAAGGCAAAAGAGTCTTTTCCTTTGTGTGTGGTTAAGTCTTGCTTAGAGAAGTCAACTCGACATGTTTTCTGTCTTTCTTCTCAAAGGAGCTGAAGAAGTACGGAGTAACCACCTTGGTGCGAGTCTGTGATGCCACCTATGACAAAGCGCCTGTTGAAAAAGAAGGAATCCAAGTTCTTGTGAGTATTTGCCTCCCCAGCTACCTGAGTACCGTATATTCCGGCATATAAGACGACTGGGCGTATAAGACGATCCCCAACTTTTCCAGTTAAAATATAGAGTTAAGATGACTCCCATGTATAAGACTACACCCGCATATAAGACGACCCCTGACTTTTGAGAAGATTTTCTTGGGTTAAAAAGTAGTCTTATACGCCAGAATATACTGTATATATTTGAAATACACATATTGACGTGAGTCCCATGTACCATCGAATCTAATGCGCACCTCAATTTTCAAAACCTCGAAACCAAAAAAAGTACTTGCTGCCCAATGTAATGAGCAGCAGCAAAAAGTGTGTTCTTTATTTTTTGGCCAAAAAAGGTGCGCATTACAGTTTTTCCCTGCTTAGGATTCCTCCTTGAAAAACAAATTTGTTCGAGCACCAAAGCTTCCAGCAATGGATAGGAAAACTTTGTGGTGCATCTGTGCTGTAGAATGAATCCACTCTAACTGCCTTGGTTCAATGCTATGGAGTCATGGGGGCTGTATTTTGACAAGATCTTGAGCCTTCTTTGCCAAAGAAGGCTGATGCCTCACCAAACTACAAATCCCAGGATCCCATAGCATTGAGCCGTGACCATCAAATTAGAGATGGCATCTCCCAAAGAGGAGCTCCAGGTGCCGCTCCTGGAGCAGCTTCCCTTTTTGCTTTGGCTCAGTGCGAAGATGACCATATGACGTGAATCTAACGTGCACCTTAATTTTGGCAAAGTCATTTAGCCCAAAAAAGTCAACATTAGATTCGAGTAATGCAGTAGCTATTTGTTATGCCATGTCTTTGGCAAGAACTGCATTTGTGGAGGAGTTGGTCATTTACAATAGTTGCCCTCTGTGCCTCACCATGCAATTTTCACTTTGAAGACAACTGCCCAAAATGGTGCCATTCTCTAGTGATGACATTGTGCGTGTTCAACACACACACAATACCAACTCTAGAGAATGGCACCATCTTGAGAAGTAGACTTCAAAATATAAAATACAGTATAAAGTAAAAGTATAAGCCCTGCTGATGAGTTTCTGGGGGGGGGGCACTAATCCCCAATAATGAGGAATGATGTTCTGCCAGATGGGAAGAGTCACTCAAATGATGACTTTATTCATTTATAGCCTGCCTTTCTTTCAGTGATGAAATTCAGGCTGGCTAACTACATAGTTAACAATACAGATTGAAACCCTGCAAAAGATGTAATGAAAGTTTAAATAAAAGAATTATTTTAAAAGGTTAAACAGCAAAAACTTTAGCATTCATTAAGAGAACAAATATAAACCTTTAAAATAGTATGAAAACCTACTGTTTGTAAAATCAGGCAATTCCAACTGGATGCCCCCCACAGGAGTCTTCCTCCAGGGGCAAACCAAGAATGGACAACTTGGAAGTCCCTGAAGAGACTCAGAAGTGGAATGGGCAGATCAAAAGACAACCTGGCCAAATGGCACTACCTTAGAAGAACCCTCCACCTTGTGCGAGTCTGGAGAACAAGCCCTATGAGGAGCGGCTTAAGGAGCTGGGCATGTTTAGTCTGAAGAAGAGAAGGCTGAGAGGAGATATGATAGCCATGTATAAATATGTGAGAGGAAGCCACAGGGAGGAGGGAGCAAGCTTGTTTTCTGCTTCCTTGGAGACTAGGACGCGGAACAATGGCTTCAAACTACAAGAGAGGAGATTCCATCTGAACACGAGGAAGAACTTCCTGACTGTGAGAGCCATTCAGCAGTGGAACTCTCTGCCCCGGAGTGTGGTGGAGGCTCCTTCTTTGGAAGCTTTTAAACAGAGGCTGGATGGCCATCTGTCAGGGGTGATTTGAATGCAACATTCCTGCTTCTTGGCAGGGGGTTGGACTGGATGGCCCATGAGGTCTCTTCCAACTCTTTGATTCTATGATTCTATGTGGAACAGAACAAACAACTCAGCATCTGTATGCTTGCCCACAATTCCCTGCCTCATGCACAGAGGAAGAATTCTTTAAAGCTGCAGACAGTGCAGTCACTGTTGCCCATTTTTGGTCTAAAACTATCCAACAGCTTGTGCTCCCTTTATTTTATCACTTTTAGATAAACTATTTTATGCAGTGCTTTTGACACGAAATAATAATAAACCTTACTGTTGGCTCAAAAATGTTGAACCTGCTGACAGAGTAAGAACAACATCACCCCAGCCTCCTCAGTGAGAGTTGTCCAGAGTCTGGGAATGGCCTCTGTTAAGGTCCTACCAAATAAGCTTGAGAACGCCTTGGGACAGAGTAAAGGACTATAATGCGTTCATAATGGGATCCCCATCGTGGAGATGGTGGCGGGGTAGAAATAAAGTTTATTTTTATTATTATCTGGTGGTTTAGGGGGAATTCTGATATATTGCCCACTTCTAGCCAGATGGGCCATAAAACAAGCTTCCCAGCCTTTTGTCAGTTAGGTCTCCAGGAGAGAAGTCAGGCCAGTCTTAAATTCAGGATGAGTGCTGTGTTTCCAGCAAATGGCGTGATAATGTATTTTGGGATGGAAGATTGCCCTTATGACTTCTTTGGTTAGATCACAGCCCGAAAAGGAAGGATGCCTCCATTCCCATAGTGAATGGGATGGGGGTCCCAAGTATTATTTCACTGTGCCAAAATACCAAAATACAATACTTAATACCATCTTGACTAGGGTCTCATGCATCATCAAATCTAATGTACACCTCAATTTTCAAAACCCTGGACCCACCGCCCTCCATAAAAGTATTGGTGAATGTCATGCATAGTGGCAAAAAGTGCACTTTTTGTAATTTGGCCAAAAATTGTGTGCATTACAGTGACTGCATGTTTATAATTTCTGCTTTAAAAACAAAAGTTTTAGAAGACCAAAGCTCCCAGAAATGAAATAGCGAGCGCTAAGATCTGCTGGTGAGGCCCTTCCCTCGTTCCCACCTCTCTTGCAAGCATGGTTGGTGGGGATGAGGGAGAGGGCCTTCTTGGTGGTGGGTCCCCGGCTCTGGAACTCTTTCCTTAGGGAGATTAGATTAGCCCCCACCTTGTCCGCCTTTCGGAAAGATCTGAAGACTTGGATGTTCCAATGTGCCTTTAAATAGTGGTTCAACTACTGATCAAGTCTGCCTGGCCCTCATCTTTTGGTAGGATCTCCAGAACTTTATTCCCAGTCCCTGGACTTAATGCTGTACTAGCCCAGTCCTGCCCTATTAGTCTCAAATCTGCGCATGCCCACTTTTCTCAGCCATTGGTTGTTTCTTGTTTGGTTATGTTTATGATGTCTTAGATTTTATTGGTTTTATTGTTTTAATATAGTTGATTGTTATATGTTTTTAATTGTGTTACTTTGCAACCTTCTTTATATTGTGCTTGGTCTCCATGTAAGCTGCCTCGAGTCCCTTTGGGAAGATGGAGGCAGGATATAAGAATAATGTTGTTGTTATTGTTATTAAAGGAAAAACTTGGGGTGCATCTGTGCTGTAGAATGAATCCACTTTTACTGCCTTGGCTTACTTTTATTTACTTAGGCAACCCCTCATAGTGCGAGGATGATGGTCCTCCAAGTGTAGTGTCTTGGCGGTGGGTATTTAGGTGGATGTGGAGCCCTATTCTTGATTTGCATGTTCTCCCACAGTGAGGACATCAGGTGGAAGGTGGTCTGGGTCAGGATTGGCTTGAGGTACCTTCCTCTTGACATGTTTCTCCCTTTCGCCCTCCATTTGTGCCTCTTCGAATTCCGCAGCAATGCTGGTCACAGCTGACCTCCAGTTAGAGTGCTCAAGGGCCAAGGTTTCCTAGTTCTTAGTGTCTATGCCACAGTTTTTAAGGTTGGCTTTAAGCCCATCTTGAAATCTCTTTTCCTGTCCATCAACATTACGTTTCCCGTTCTTGAGTTGGGAGTATAGTAACTGCTTTAGAAGACGGTGATCGGGCATTCGGACAATGTTGCCAGTCCAGCGGAAGTGATGGCGTAGGAGTATCATTTCAGTGCTAATGGTCTTTGTTTCTTCCAGCACATTGACATTTGTCTACCTGTCTTCCCAAGAGATTTCAGGAGTTTTGGAGGCAATGCTGCCTGGCTCAGTGGTATGAAATCATGTAATTTTACAAGGTCTTGAACTTTCTCTGCCAAAGAATGCGGATGCCTCACCAAACTACAAATCCCAGGATAGCATAATTTTGAGCCAGGGCCATTCAGTGAGAGATCGGGTCCTTGAAGATGGGGTCCCTGAAATGAGGAGCTCCAGGTGTAGCATCTTGCCTTTTTGCTTTGGCTCAGCACTAAGAATACCATTATTATAGGAAATCTAATGTGCGCTCTAATTTTGAGAAGGCAATTTAACCAAAATTGGTGAGTATTAGATTCGAGTAAATATGGAAGATATCCGAAATCCTTGCTAATTCCCCACTCTTGAAACACCATTTTCAGGGTTCATCAAGGAGTTTGAAATTACTCCAAAGAAACCTTCTATAATCCAGTTAAAAACTCCTTCCTATCTGTCCTCCCTGATAACAGCTATTTAAGTTTTGTTCACAAAATTGAGCTTCATTAAATCAGAGCAGAATCGCATAATCGGGTTCTGCCTGCGACGGTGAGGCAAAAAGTGTGTCTGAACCTTTAACCAAATTGCTTCTAATTCTCAAAAGATATTTCCTGCTTCCTTTATTCTTAAGTTTCTAAACGTTCCTCAAATCTAGTGATAATTGTCTCCATTATTTCAAGCAGGGGCTTCGGGCGTTTGAATATCTTTGTAGGGAATCAAACGCTTCCTTTTGATACCTCTTCGCTTCTTCAGCGCAGTGTTTTCTGCGTAATTGTTCATCATTCACTTTGCGCCTATCTCAGAAGTCTATCTGTCATTTCATTTCCACCTAATTTTTGAAGTTATTCTTTTAAAAGCTTGTGAGGAATGATTAAATGTCTCGAATTCACCTGCGAGCAGCTTCTTTGTGTGTTCTGCTTCTTAGCTAAGAATGTTCATCATTCTTATGC